CCGAGTCTGGCCCGCTGCCTGCAGCTTGGACTTCCGCGTGCAACACCTGCACGCACGAGTCTGACGCCTCTCCTCAGCTCACTAGACCGATTCCAGCTCCTCTCAATCCCTCTGCTACCCATCCTCCATTACCGCCGGCTCAAACGGAGCCCCATCCCACAGCCGCCGCTCCTTCGCCGCCGGCAGCAGCCGATCAGACCTCCACCGACCAGCTCCCCGCAACCCCAACAGCCGACCTTGCTCCCGACGTGGAATACACTAAGCCTTTGCCCTCTTTCCATAGAAAGGTGGAAGCGGATGAGAACCTCGGGAATGTTCTCTAGTCGGAGATCGAATGCGCCCAGGGAACTGAAGAGCACGGCCGGGAAGTCGATGCTCCAGAAGATTTTCCCTTTGAAATCATTGATAAATTCGACGATCAAATAATCATTCTTAAGCGTGAATTTGCTAGTGAGAGCATCCAGGCTACAGTATATATGAATGTTGATAGGGAAGAAATGAGCAAGGATGATGAAGATGATTGCAAGGTTGATCAGAAGATGTCAGAAAATGACGATGAAGATGAGGGGAAGGATTTCCGGTGGTCGCCAGATCCAGGAGGAACCATTCAGCTGTCGCTCCCACTCAGTGTAGCATCAACGCCTCCGCTCATACAGGATCGGTTTCCCCGCTTTCTTGACTTCTCTGCAGCGAAGACAGAGAACCCACTCTGCTCTCGCCATTTTGCGCCAGGTATTGAGCTCCATCTCTCACAACCAGATTCCAGTATTGCCGCCTGCTTCAACTCCGTCGTGATGTCATTCCGTGATGTCATTTCCTGGACTGCCATGCTAATGGCTTATGCTGATAATGGCAAGATCTCCAAAGCACGTGAAGTGTTTGAATAAATGCCAAAGAGAAATGCTGATTCATGGAACACCATGATCTCAGCCTGTGCAAGAGATCCAAAGTTTCTTAAGGAGTCTTATGAGTTGTTCTCTGCAGTGCCTTACATGAATAGTGTTACCTATGCTGCAATGATCACTGGTTTTTCTAGGGGAGGAATGCTTTTACAGGCTAAAGAAATATACTGGAGGATGCCACCTGAAATACTGACTTCCAT